AGGCGTATCACATGTGGCGGATGAGGCCAGTTAAGACAAAGCATCCGCCTGATTGTTCTCTGACCGGGGCACCTGATTTAGATGAAATTCGTCAAGTGCCCTAGCCTCGTCTTTAACCGTCTGCAGGTATTTGATTATTGCCGGATGGGTGGCCTCGTAGTCACTATTGAATTGGCTGACGATCAATTGAGAATCCGAGCAGGCGTCAACTTTCCGTGCTCCTGTCGCCTTACACATGCGTATGCCGACTAGCAGGGCCTCATACTCAGCTTCATTGTTTGAAGCTTGAAACTTGAACCGTAGTGCATATTCATAGGTGTCTCCTTCTGGAGACTTGCAAATTACACCTGCACCACAGTCGTTCATAGTAGAACTACCGTCTACGAATAACTTCCAAACCTAATCGGTATTTTTCAGTTGCGCCGGCCTAGTCATTTCAACAATGAAGTCGGCAAACGCCTGACCTTTCACTGCACGCCTAGGTTCGAAAGTTATCTTCAGGCTTTGTATTTCAACAGCCCACTTGATCATTCTGCCGGATGACTCTATAGTAGTCATTGGGCGCTTGAGTGGCTGATCATTATAGACAATCACCGGATGAGCTAAAAAATAGGGTTTCAACCACTTGACTGCTTTGTAGAGGGCCAACCTAAATTTTTCAATCATTGGGTACCAAAGTTCAGTATTTCTGAGTATATGGCTGATGAAATACACCAGGAGCTGTTTGCCGTCTCTCTCAGCAAGGAGAACAACACTAAGGGAGTGGTCTGAGACGGCTAGGTACATGTAGAGGACCTCATGAGGCAGGGGACTCACTAGCCTTGACAAAGAGTGCAAGTGTTACTTTAACCGCTAAAATGCTGCCTCAGCTTCTTCTCCCCATTTAAATCTAGACCCCTTCCTGATTGCTTGGAAGAAGTTGAGGCACTTGTCGCCTGACCGGCTAAGGAATCTTCCTAATGTCGCTAGGCAACCGGTAAGCTTCTGGGCTTCTTTGACAGTGCGGGGTGACTTCATGTCAATCACCGCCTGTACTTTTTTCGGATTGGTCTCTATGCCTCTTTGATCAATTAGAAATCCGAGAAACTTCCCGGACTCACCAAAGACACACTTTTTGGGATTAAGCATGACCTTGTGCCGCCTGAGGGTGGTGAAGGTTTCTCGGAGGTCGGTTAGGTGATCTGTTTGTAGCTTAGATTTGACTATCATGTCATCAATATACGCCTCTACATTCTTTCCGATTTGATTGATGAAAACCTTGTTGATCATTCGTTGAAAGGTAGCAGGCGCATTCTTCAACCCAAACGACATCACCGTGTAGCAATACAACCCCTGATCAATGACGAAGGCCGTCTTCTCCTTATCCTTTTTCCATAGGGGGATCTGATGGAAATCTGAGTAGGCGTCCATAAAGCTCATCAAGGCATGACCGGCTGTGGAGTCGACTAGGCTGTCGATCTTTGGGAGCGGGTAGCTATCCTTCGGACATGCTTTGTTCAGATCTGTGTAGTCTATACACATCCGCCAGGTTCCATTCGGCTTTTTGACAAGGACAATGTTTGCTACCCAATCTGGATAGTGGCATTGCCGAATGAACCCAGCATCTAACAATTTTTTGACCTCGACGGCTACCGCCTGAGACCTTTCCTCGCCATGATCCCTCTTCTTTTGCCTAACTGACTTCTTTTTGGGATCCACGGCGAGCTTGTGGACAGTTAGATCTGGGCTGACGCCTGACATCACTTCCACTTCAAAGGCAAAAATGTCTTTGAACTCCTTCAGTAGTTGGAGCAAATCTGCTCCCAACTATTCAAAAGCGACCGTCCCAACTTTGACGGTTCTGTCGGGGCGGCTGTCGTTTAGAACGACATCAATGCTCTCACCGGCCGGCTGGGGTCGGAAGTCGTCCGACCTTTCCCCGGTCAGTGATTGCTATTTCTCTTTTTTTACGGAGGCCAATCGGTCCGCCTTCCTCTTTTTGCCGGCTGCTTTGGGAGCAGGCGCGGCTTCCTTGTCATCAAGGTCGATAGGCTCCTCGTTATGGCCGGCTGAAATGGCAGTCGGATTGCCGTCCGAGAGATAACACTCTTTTGCCGTCTTCTGATCCCCATTCAGGGAACCTACCGTTCCATCATCCCTCTCAAATTTGATTAGCATAAGGGATGGGATGATGACTGCTTTGGACTCGTTGAGGGTAGGACGACCCAGAATGAGATTATAGGCGGTTAATTTCTCGACCACCAAAAATTTGACGACCATGTGCCATCCTTCCCCCTTTTCCCCTAGCCGGATGGGTAGGTCAATCCTACCCACCGGATGCACTACTCCTCCCCCGAAGCTGACTAGGGGGTGAGGGGCCTTGCGCATGCTGCTAGGTTTGTACTTGAGCTTTGCCAAGCATTGGTAGCTGATTAGGTTAGACGAGCTCCCGGTATCGATGAGGATCCGGCCCACTCGTTAGTTGGCAACCTTGCATTCGATGACAATTGGGTCATCATGGGGCCACCTGACCATACCCTGATGCTTCTCAGAGATGAAGACCTCAAGGAAGGAGTCTTTCGACGCCTAGCCTTCATCCTCTGGGTTGGATAGTTTCCGGATGTTATCCTTGGTACCCCGGATGGTAGGACCTCCGCCTGTGAAGCCGCCTGCTATGGTGAAGATGTGCTCTTCATCAGTATCAGAACTCACAACTGGCTTCTTTGACGGTTGTCCAATATTGGGTTTGGGGTTACCCTTGGACTTCACCAGGTAGGACTTCAGAGCCTACTCATCAGCCACACGGTCCAATAGTTTCCTGAGGCTATAGCAACCATTGGTGTCGTGGCCAACGTCCTCATGGAAGTGACAATATTTGCTCTTGTCACGGTTCTTGATAGAACTCTTCATAGAAGCCGGTTTTTCAAGGGTTAACCGGTCTTTGATCTCCATGAGGATGGAGGAACAATCCTTGTTGAATTCGTACTTGCGGACGTACTGTTCCAACTTTCTCTGTATCTTCTGGGACGGCTGACCAGAGCGATCTGCTGCCCAAACTTCTCTTCTTTTCTTTCCCTCTTCTTTTTTTGGCCGGCTGGGAAGGTCGGCTCTATTTTTTGTCGGACCTCTTAGGTTCCGACGAGTGTTTCATGGCACAGAGTTCCGTCGCCTGTATGTAGGCTTCGGCTTCCAACAACACCTCTTGGAGGGTGGCAACTCTCTTGCGGACTAGGTCGAATTTAAAAGTTGACCCGTCCTTCAGACCCTTGAAGAAGTCTATGTATGCAACTTCGTTAGATAGCCCCTGAATCTGAATTCTCATCAGATTGAACCGCCTGACATAGGACTGTAGCCCCTCCTTGTCCCCCTGTTGAATAGCCCCTAGGTCGAGACTTGTCTTTTTGGTAGGGATGTTTATGGAGAAATTCGACGTGAACAGGTATGCAAGCGTCTTGAAGTTGTTGATGCACCCAGCTGGCAGGTTGCCAAACCATCGTTGGGCTATGCCCTTCAATATTGCTGGGAAGCATCGGCATCAGGCGGCGTCATCCAACCCCTGTAGGTACATAAGGTTGGTGTATGCCATTAGGTGGTCTTCCGGGTTGGTGGTACCGTAGTAGGTACCAACCAACACATTTTTATCCTTGACCAGCTGTGCGGCCTTGGTTATCTCCCGGGAGAAAGCTGAAGGCTATTCCCCTAGGTTTAGCAGCCGGAGCTGCCAGTCCATAGATGTGCCGCCTGACCTCCAAAGGGGGACGGCTGCATGTATAATGATCCATTTGGCATGTATGGCTGTTGGGGCACATACGGAGCCTGTTGGATGATATGTGGGCCAGTACGTGCGGACATGCCGCGTGACTGACTCCCTTGATGTGTTTCCAAATGCTTTATTGAAGTATTGCGAAAATTGTCTGAGTAAGTCGACGTTGAAGCCAACCCAGACATTTGCTGACTTCTCTTCTCCTGGATGAACATCCAGGCATCAAAGAAGGTCTTTTTTGACCCATCCGGCTGAACTTGCCGGATGGCCTTCCGTTGCCCTGATTCAGGGAAACGAAGTTTTGAGAGGTCGATAAGAGGCCCATCCATCCCGTGGGGTTTGGGGTGAAGAGTAGGCACCCGGTCTTTGATTTGCTTCTTCCCGCAGGGAGAAGGCTTCTTTGCCGACTGACCCTTGTTTGATTCAGTTGACTTCTTGATTATGTCCTTTATTTCCCCCTTGAAACTCGTCATGAATTTCATGAGTTCGTCTCTGGTGACGGGGTCTGTGCCCTCCGCCGCCTGGGGTTGCCCAGCATGCTTGCCGCCTGGGTTGCTGGGACCAACTTTGTCTTGACTCCGTTCCTTCTTTTGGAACGGGTGCGCCTTGTGCGAAATAAACCGTCTGGGGCCACATAGGTGTCGACCTCATAGTCTTCACCACTATCATGGTCCGTATGGACCTTAAGTTCAGCCGTAGGCCGACTGCCTAGTACAAGCGGTACAGTTTCAGATGCCATCTCAGAAGTACTCTCATTACTCTCCCCACAGACGGCGCCAGATGTTTCGGGGGTTTTTGGAGTCCCTCGGGAGAGTTATGATTCTGAGTATGTGCGCTCGACTGTCTGTACTTGCAAAACCACGAAACTCCGGTGGGGTGGAATTCCGCCTCCGACGATCAAATTAGTATACGTCTGAAGTAAACTGTACGGAAATGGTATATGTTTCTCCCTGATTCAGAGAGATTCTGCAATTAATATTGCTCGGTTTTTTTGTGTTTTTATTTATGGATGTCTAATAAATGAGGATTTTCCTCTATTTATAGCTGATGAAGACCTGCTCCCCCATTAGGGGTGCAATGCCACGTGGCATCCTCTAATTGGATCCCCTTGGGCCTCTACGAGGCTGACACGTGTCAGTCCCTCATTGGACCACGTGGCAGGGGGGGTAATTTCTACCCCAAACATTTTCCATCTTTACTTTGGTTTTCAAAATTGTTCATATACTTAATTGTTCATAAATATTAAGTATGTACATTTTGGCTGAGACCAAAATATAATTCACAACAATGAGACAAACGAAGAGCTTTTCAAAGACCAACTTTTTTAATCTCTATATACGTTTTGAATTTTCATTATTTTTTTTCCTAAGTTTTTGGATTAGGCTAACTATTTCTACAAGATCTACAGGAGAAAATTGTCAATCATGTGTTTAATAACATCAGCTCCAGATGAATGCATCCAATAATGTTGCACCTGCAAAATATGATTACATGTTTACATGAGAAACAATTACTAAGCATAAACATATTTGAAAAAAATCAAAAAAATTCTTCTAAGTACTCCATTACTATTAAGAAGAAAGACAATATATAAAGCTTGCCTGAATTGAATTATGAGCAACGAACCGATGTTTACCACCACCAAATTTAACATCAACTCTTTCCAGCTAACTGTGGTTAGTCCCTTGATCATTTCTTCCAGCATTTCTGCGAAGTCACTCCGAAAAGAATATTAAGTAATGAAGCAAGAACCTGCTTGAGTGCAACTATTAAGAACTGATTGACTTGATAACAAAGGCTGATATATTTGACCATAATGCAACAAACCTTGAGTTCTTAATCTTTTCCACCCATTCATTATGGACTCCATAGTAGAGGCTTGCTGATTATAAGAAACTACTCCTGTCTCCACATTTGCTATGTGCCGATACTTGTCATTTCTCAGTATATGTCGCCTCTGCAAGAAATAAAAGGCTTGGTTAGAATGTGGTAATTCAGAAACAATGATTGTAATAATTATTTGATGTATAAGACTTTCATTGATCGAAATCTTCAGGGTCAAAATCTTACCTTTGGGAGTTCATTTTCAAGCCGGATTGAAGATGTGCACCATCCAACAAGCTCTTTAGATACTGTTAAGGCCTTGAAAGGAATCAGAAGTTGTCTAACGACCATTATAATCATTGATGGTCAGACTTTGATCCATTATGTTTGAAGTTTTACATGGTTTTAAAGTATAAAATTAGTCCAAATTCTACTAAAAACATACGAAGACACTTATTTTGGATCAAAGGAACAACTCAAATTTTACTACAAAATGGAGGGAGTACTACTTAAAAGAAGAATATCAAATAAGGATACTGTCAAAGCGCATATTTGCATAGGCAATACGGCGATTGAAAGATTTTAATGCAGATCTGAGAGAACATTAAAACTGTATCAGTAAAAGTAACCAAAGTCAATAACAACTAATAAAATTTACTATAGGTTTAACTTTGGAACAGAACGAATAAAGAAAAAGAATAGGCAGCTTTACATGAATGGAAGACCCTCACAATCATTTGCCATCCTAAGAAGAAGAGGGGGTTTTTCCATATCTTTGTCGGTCAAAAACAGATGCCTTCCTGTTCTTCCAAGAAACCATGATGTTTGGCGCGCTATTAATTCTAATGTGTGGAAGCCAAAAAACATTGGAACCTGGAAATTGTGGCTAAACAGGTCAGCCAAGAACAATAATTCAAGGCGTAATAATTTTAAGATGATAATTATAAACTTAACAAGTTAATTAAAACTACAGGAATTCTTTTGGCAGCAACCAAAGATCTAAAGCTCAACAATTACAATGAATGTGACATTAAATTACTCGAGACATATAGATATATAATACATAGTTGGCCATTACAATGAATATCTAAATGCCAAGCTGGACTGTTTTAAGTTAAATTTTAAAAATGCATAGCTAAGTTACACATGAAATGGAGAGGGTAGAGATGTGATAGCAAAAATTGAGGCAAAATGAAAAGATAAATTTAGACTGATTACCTGATTGTGTCCCCTTGAACCAAGATGCGGCGTTGCAAATGTTATGAAATTTACAGGCTCCAGACCAGCAATCTTACCAATATAATCTTCTTGTTGCATTACTTTTTCACACCCATTGCTTCCAGTTTCTCCATTTACTTTAAATAGTCTATCCAAATAGTTATCCCCATAAAGCAGGGCAATTGCATATCTTGCAATCATACCACCTAAAGAATGACCTATGAATGAAATTTTGCGTAGATGTGGATAACGCTGTATGACTGTTATCACCTGAAATCAGAAGTGTCAAGAGGTCTTATTTCAGCACAAAACTACAGTCCAACATTTTGAGTAAAGATCTTGAAGTTACTCAATATGTTTAATTGTTTATCGTGTAATGGTAGTTTGATGCGTATGCAAAATCAAGATAGTCATTATCAATTACAAACGCGGTGTAAAACAATTTTACCTCTCAACCAAGAAAGGGATCATTATATAAGAATTCGAATTGTTTTTTTTTTTAAAAAAACAGATCGATTCATTTGACAAGCACCACCAACCTCATCTGCTAGTCGTTCACCCATCACATCAATTCCATCAAATGTTAAGGTTGAAGTATTTCTTTCACTACCTGTACATTGCATATTAGCAAACAATAATGAGGACTAAATCCATCAAAATTGAGAACTTCAAAGTTTAATTTAACTTATTAAAACTAGATAAGGGCCTATTGTATTGGGACGACCTAAATAGATAAAGGGGAATACAGGATATTATTGCGTTAATATAATAGCATAAGATAAACTATAAATCGGTGAGACATTGCGAAATGCATCAAATTAACTCCTAATAGAAGTTCGATATTCAATTCTTACAGTGAACTATAACTTCTTTGGGGTAAGCCCTCAGAAACTGCTTTGCAGCATATCTCCAATCCTCTGCACTGCATGGATCACATACAAATATTTGAGTTAAGATCAAAATTAAAACCATATACAAATAGAGATTTAAAAAGTTCCACACTGTTAAGAGAATCTCAAAAAATGTGTACAATAGAAAGTAAAACATTAAAGGACACAGCACAAGTATAACGCGGTATAGCAATTTCATGATCACCAATCTCCCTCAATCATCACATTTAGTACCTCAAATGTGCAAAAAATGTATAATTTTAGTTTTAAGTAATTGAGCGGTTAATTTTAGTTACAAGCAATATAAGTGATCCATGAAATTTGTAACATCAGCATGCACAAAATTATAATACTCTAGAAAGTGGATTACTATTAACACTCATACTTCACTCCAATATGACAGCATCGTTGGAATTTGCAAAAAATATTAGGATTTGTGATTTGTCTATATTCTATAATACATATTAGAAAGTAAAAGATAACTATACAAGGAATATTAACATAGACTTTCTAATAATACAATCATCATGAGAGGGAAAAATCAAACTAGTTATGGATCATCTTAGCATTACAATGAAAATTGAACTAAGACCACTCTCAATGGTGAGCAAAAAAAATGTCCACCCACTATCTCTTTACCCACTTTCTCTGTCAACAAATCTGTTTTGCCCATGGGCAAATTTTTTTCACAATTTCTCTCCCAATGGTGAGCAAAAAAAATGCTTGCCCACTACTCTCTCTCTCTTACTTTTTCAATACCCCACCATTACTCTCTCTCTCCCACACAACACTTCTTTATTTATTAATTTCATTTATATTTTAACAATATTACTCCAAATAAATAAAAACTAGTCTAAATTTGTGTAACTTTTTTTTTTATTTTTTATTTGTGTCGTTTTTATCGTTAAAATAAAGAATATGGAGGATTTATGGTATTTCTGAAATTATACCAAAATACATGTCTATTTATAGAGAATTAAATTTTATGACCGTTGGTAATTTTAATTATTTTTTTAATAAATATTTATTTCAGAATTTGCATTACAAAAAATATAACCATTGCAAATTGTGGGGCCCACCAGAGCACTATTCATCTTCAAAAATGCTCAATTGGGCATTTTCAGAAATGCTCATGAGCATTTTTTGGCTTTTTCTCATTTGTTCACCATTGTAATGCACGAGCAAATTTTATGCCCACCCAAAATGCCCATAAGCAAATTTTTAGCTCACCATTGGTAGTGCTCTAATAAACAACTAGCCTATTTCTATTTTTAGTAATGTCAACTAATCTAACTACTTGTTTACCTTATTAATGCTATTAAGGGTACCTCACCTATAATTCTAAAAACCCACTAAACTTTGACTAATCCAAATTCAAGCCGGGTTGCTTAGCCAACCAAACGGAAGAAAGCTCACTGAACAAATGTTTCCGCTCAAACCCGAAACCTCTTGTTAAAATTCCTTACCCTCTAATCCATAAATGTGTTTGTACATGTTGTACTTGATCACTCTAAAAGGATTTACTAATACAAGAATATTGAAAAAGAAAAATTCTTAGTCCGGCCCTGATTAGATACCCTACTAAATCTAGCAGCAGATTGCATTTGACATCAAATCAAATACTATGCGCCATAACATATACCACAATGAACTCTAAAAATATCAGCAAACTACTGTTACATCTAAGTTAAAAATGTCGGTAGTAACGTAAAACAAAATCCATCCAGTGATCAAATACATCATCTGAACATCCCAAAATAGTACACGTGATTATTAATTCCTATGAATCAAAACACTACTATCACATCTCAATCAAAAAAGTCGGTAATAACATGAATTGAATACTTAACAAACAAAAGACTCTGATTACGAAATGGACCAACCTGCCAATAATACCATTAACCATAACAATTAAATGAGTGGGAAGGCGACGATCACGATCAAAATCATCAACAACACCAGCAGTAGACAACATATCAATACTTCCGTCATTCTGATTCTGCCTATCAACAGATTTAGATTCATCATCTAATCTCAAACACCCAAATCTAGGCAAAGACATAGATTTCCTCTGTTTCTTCATGTTATTTCCCCTGTTTTTTATAACACTTGAATCTTCCCTTAGTTTCATTGCATATTCAACATCGACTGTAAGAGCAGGAGCCATTATTTATATTTATTAACCAATGATTTTAAGGGTGGGAGCAAATGTAAAAAGAAATGATATTGACTTTTTAAGGAGGGAAGAAACAGAGAATTTGGAAAGTGGGACCCACATTAGGATAAATGTAGATTAATTAATATTTATTATAGACTAAGTCCAGAAATAGAGGAAGAGGAAAGTTGAGCTCGTGATTTGACGAATGAATAGAAAATGTTAGAAGAAAGAAACAAAACAGTGGAAAATAGAAAATGGCGTGGTATTTTCGACTGTCGGGATTCTAGAGAAGCAGAGTTATGAGTCATGACACGCAACTTTTTTTTGGCGGTTTTTGTCAAAGCTGTTAGACTTGGACCGTTAGCCGGTGGCCGTGCTTCCCATCTCCATACTAAATTTATTTTTGTTTTATTTTTTCTTTTATTACCCACTTCGTCATTAATTATTTGGAATAACTTTTAGCGTATAAGGTCTATATATTTGGCAACAAATAAGATGATAAAATTGTAAATATCAATATATGTATAAAGTATCACTAAATAGGTAAAAACTACCATTAAGGGGATGTTTGGTTCATTATATTGTAATGCATTTGAATGAAATCTCATACTAGAAAGATATAGATTCTATAACTTATACTAGCCTAAAGTTGTTTGGTTTAATGTTGAAATGAAATGTATTTTTAATTAATAGAATGGATTGTGAATCTTAGGGAGAGGGGTGAGTATGGGATTTCATAGGTATGGGGGGAGTTAAACCCCATTGGGTATGAGATTCTATTACTAAAAACCTCAACCAAACAAAAAACTAGATGAAATGGATTATAACTCAATTCCAACCCATTTCAATAATCCAACCAAACGACCCCTAAGTGGTGTAGTGTTATACTCCTTCCGTTTTTAAATACTTGCTCCACTTCCTTATTTGGAAAGATTTTACAACATTTAATTCATTTCTATCAATTAGTGGACCCAACATAAATCATATTTTATTAATTTCATATTATCTCTCCTCTAATTCTCTCAACTACTTTTGTTTTTTACAATTTTATATTCTTCCACTACCTCCATATTTTATTACTTTATCCAATTTCTCCTTAAACTCCGCGCATGGAGAAATGGAGCAAGTATTTAAAAACGGAGGGAGTAATTTTTTTTTTTTTTTTTTTTTTTTACAACGGTCCAAAAAGGAGACTAGCTCCCAACTGGCTCGACACTACAAATAGAACAAGGAGAGGGTTTAGCTCTCTTAACTATACTAACACAAGACTTAAACTGGGGATTGGGGGTACAACAAACATGGTTTGCTTGATAATTCTTTTTCAAATGATACAAATAAACATGTAATGATACATCAAAAATTACATTACTGTGAGATATAATAGTACCACTAAACTAAGAAAACCTATACTTTAATCATATTATATACACGCATAGTTGTACACAAAAAATACCATATTGCAATCTTAAAAAATGCTTTTTTAATGTCGAGAAGTAAAGTATACGTCATTATTCCGACATTTTCTACTTTTGGAATTGTCCTCCACCAATATCCATTCCACGAAATTAAGAACTTAAATCCCGACGAATTGAAAGAAATTAATGTTTGGGATAAAGAGGCCTGCAATCCCATAGAAAGACATCACGATCCCTTGGGGGAAAAAAAAAAAAGAATTTGCTGGGGAGGAAATAAAGATATCAAATTCTTACCAAGATAGATAGAAATTCTAACCAATGCGACGAAATGTTTTGTAACACCCCCAAATCTCACTCTACGGAAATACTAGTATAATACGTATAATTATATCGTAGAAATAGATTTAGGCATATTACCACTACGTGATTACGCAAGGCTACCCAAACTACTAACTTAATACCAAAACTTTGCAGCGAAAACTCAAACTATTTCTTTATTCATAATTATAAAAATAGTAATAATTGTTATGAGTACTCAAAATAAAGACAAAAACCAATATTCCCTAATCTAGGTGAAGCAAATCCCGGGACTCTCAAATGGTCATTTATGACTCCACCTGAAAATAGTTAACACTGCTTACCATTAAAGTAAACAGGGCGAACCAAAACAAACAGAAAAATACGGATTAGCAAAATATGCTAAGTACGATAAGTGCAAGATAATGTAAACCCAATTTATTAGCAATAGGGGTGAGCATGGATCAAATATCCAATCCGAAAAGGGGTTTTAGATCGGATATCCGTATCCAAAAATTCCCATATCTGATCCGAAACTTTTCGGATATCCGAAAATTTCAAATCGGATAGCTCGGATATCCAATATCCGACCCTATTTATTGGAAAAATTAATTTTTTTTAAAGGCATTGACATATTCGCTGAATTGAACTTGAGAAAGAAAATTAATACTACATCAATTCACTAAAAAAATTAATTCATTGCTACTTGAATCAGAAGAATATTAAATAGACTAGAATTTAAAAAATATCCAACAAATAATTTTTGCAAATTACAAGAAAAGAAATTTTACACAAACCTAAGTACAAAACAAAGAAATTTGACACAAATCTGTAAACTAATTGTCACAAAAAAAAACAAAACAAAGAAAATTTAATTTTCATTGAGAAGAAAAGCCATTGTTGGTGTTGCGGGTTCGAAGGTCGAGCTAGGGATGATGCGTATGGTTGCAGTTGTTGTTGCGGTTGTTGATGACGGTGGTTAGAGGAGGTCGTTGCGAGGATCGTTGGTGAACCAGCCATGAAAATCGAAGGAGGAAGCCGGTCAGGTGGTGCGATGGAGTTACATATATTGAAGGAGGAGAATGGAGCATGAAAGAGAAGAAAGAGGAGAGAGAAGATATTGAAGGGGGCGGTGAGGATGACGGGGACGTGAGGAAGACAAAGAGGAGAGAGAAGATAGAGAGAGAGGGGCGGTGGGTTAGGAGTTGTATTTTGAGGGAATGAGTTAGGGTTGCTGGTTTAGTTTTTTGGGCCTTTGGGGTATTTGGGCTTTTGCAAGTATTTAAGGTTTGCTGGTTTCGGGTATTTTTCCGGATATCAGATCGGATATCTGATTTTTTTCGGATATCGGATATCCGAATTCAATATTTCGATATCCGATATCCGATTTTTCGGATCAGATATATCCGATTCGAAATTAATGTCAGATCGGTTATCCAAAATTTTTGGATCGAATACGAATCAGATTTTCTGATTTTCAGATATTTTTGCTCAGCCCTAATTAGCAAACATGCTTATATAACCAATCATGGAATTTCAATATTTATTTCAATAATTCCAAACCTCATAAAGTAATTCTCAAGATTCTCAAAATAATTCCAATAAATCCAATCCTCAAAATTCAATAAATATCAATATAGTTTTCAAAGCATTGATAATCCATTCCTTTAATTTATTCTAATTTCCTCTCCTAAGTGTGCACACCCCCCAAGTTAGTATCTTTATATTGAAATGCTATCCTTGAGGAAAGAATAGGTCATACAAAGTCCATAGTCTTATCAACCAAATCCACATAGTGGAATTACATAAACATGCTTGTAAAGCTTTAATGGATAATTTAATAATTATCATGAAATATCTGTTTTGAATAAAATCAACCTTTATAATAAAATAATTCAAACTCCTTTTTATTTAATTCAACATACTTTAAAATGAAACCTTTCAATAATTTAAACCATTGAAAACATGATATTAAAATCCATTTTCAAACATCTTTATTTTAAAACATGAATTCTAAAACTTATTTCATAAATCATCATTCAAATCAATTTAATTCAATCATCATTAAAATCATATGAAACATGCTATTTAAGCCAATCACTTTCAAAGGCATCTAGCCACCTAAACGTACATTGATTCCGAATCTCAAATCAACACTTTGCACTCTCAAAGTTCAATCACGAATACACCTTGCAATTAATATAACCATGGGGTTATCACAACATCTTTAGACATAAACCCAAATCTAATGTACATGGACTATGTTTTTTAAAATAATATTTTCATATAAAATTATAAATTTGAAATAAATATTTATATTCTAGAAAACTAACCATGGAAAATAATGGAATTGGATTATAGAGAATTGGATTTGCGTTCGAAAGAATAGACACAACTTACAGAGGCATTAACTCCTTCAATATAACTCCAAATTGGGTGATTCTTGAGCCTAACCTCAAGGATTTTTCAAGAGGAACAATATTTTGGGAAATAGAAAAACCCAAAATCTGACCAAAAGTGCCCTAAAATTGGTTTCAAAGGTATACGGGTTTATTATTTATGAAAAAGAGTAGAAGAAAAGAATGGAAAGGTTTAGGGAACAAAAAATAAAGAGAGAAGAAGAGAATTGGGTTTTGGTGTGAAGAATATGAGAGGTATGAGGGGGTATTTATAGGCTCATGAATGAAATAATTAAGGTAAAATTTTGTAGGAATAATTATGGTAAATTTAGTTTAAGGAATTTCTTGGAAAAGAGAGTTTAAGAATTAAGAAAGGTTTAGTTTATGGTGATTAAGAAATAAGGAAATAAGGTAAGTAGTTTGATCATGAAATAAAAGATGGAAAGTGAGCTTGCTTGGAGAATAATTAAGAATATATATTATGGAAAGTGTTAAATAGTAAGATGATCATAAAAATAGTTTAAGGAAATAAAAGCTTGCTTGGAAAATAAGTGTTTCGGGGTTTTCTGATGCCCTGCGGGAGAGTTACAATTCCGAGACTGGAACCGGACGCCTGTACCTGCAAAACAAACGGATGCTCCGGATGATTGGAGATCCGCCTCCGACGGTTAAGTTAGTACTTGATTAAGGAGTAATTAATGCGGAAATAAAAGTGATTTGGTCTCTCTAGGTGAGAGTGTTTAATGTGCGTAATCTCCCTTAATGAGGATTAAGGGAGGTATTTATAATGTGCGTAATCTCCCTTAATGAGGATTAAGGGAGGTATTTATAACCTTGGGAAACGTGCCAATCCTAGGTTAAGGTTAACCTTGGGCTGATTGGGCTTCCCTTGGAAGTTGGGCCTAGGTGGCCGGTTTCTCCATTAGGCATGGAGGATGCCACGTGTCATGACATAATAGATCCAGGGTGGACGAATTGGCGTGAGCCACGTGGCAAACCCTGACGGTTCCAATTGGGGGACACTTGGCCGGGTCTGATTGGCCGACGTGGCGCATTCCGATTGGTGGGAGCAAAATCCCCTAATCATTTGCCCCTCACAGGTGGCACGTGACTGGTCACGTGTTACCTGTGACAGGTGTCGCACTGCGACAGGCGACGGCCTGTTACAGGTGTCACTCGGCGAAAGGCCGAGAGATTCTCCCGCCCAAATTTTGAATTTTGGAAGTGACCCTTCACCTTCTCACTTCGCCTATATAAGGGAGTGTTGACTTCAGTCATTTTCACACTTGAGAACTTTTTGAGAGAACATTCGGACCCCTGAACTTGCTTTGACATTTTGGACCCTTTCTGCCTACCGCCTGCTCTGACAAGCTGACTGCACAGGATTTTCAGAACTCCATCAACGTCACTCGTTCAGGTAACCGTCGGTTCTCTTTACTCTTAATTTTCTCTTTATTTTATTCTTTTTTGAAATGGCACCACGGAAGCACACGGCACGACCTAGGTTAGTGATCAGCCGGTCACCGGAGACGGCTGAATCTAGGACTAGGAGTGCCGC